TTTTGTCGTTAATGTTAGACTGCTTAGATTTTGCAGTCTTAACGATTTTCAAAATTTTTGCTACTATAAACAGGTAGGATGAACCGACCACTATATACTGTATAATATGAAGTGAAAACATTGATTTTGCACATCATAACTCCAAAATAAATGTTAGTTTTTCATTCCGTAGTAATTTTTATCTTTTGATGTTGTGTAGCGCATTGAGGTTTTTGTTAAAACGGGTACAGGTCTAAAAAAACAAGCATAATTTATGGAAAATAATGAAATTGTTTTTCAATATTGAAAATATGAATAGATAGCAAACTTTATCTATATTTTGATGAAGCGATTGCGTAAATTTTTCCATTTTGTAAGCTAGCGCTACTAATTTACATAATTGTATAGAGTATACATAATAATCATTGTATATTTTGAATTCACTACGCTCTACTCAGAAAAGTATCGAAAGTGACAAAGTAAACAAGTAATTAAGTGAGACGAAAATTATTCTTTCAGTCCATGGTCCAACCAAAGGACATACAAGCTGGTTAGTATCATCTTTTTTATTATTACATAAAGAGAATAGCTCAAGTTTCCCAAAGAACGTCAAACTTATGTCACTAACCATTGAGGTATAACCGTTTACTCACCCAGTTGTTGGTCATGCTTACTGCTATTGTGGTAGAGACTACTAACAGGATGGTGTTTAAACAGTATGCTGAATAATTGCTACCAGAAAGTAGAGCTTTTGGAGATCAAAATTTGTATTGTTCAGACAGTTTATTGATATTTCAATTGATACTATTAATACTTGAAAGTTTAACTGTCAGTCGATGTTGTCCTATGCCTACTATTTTAAGACAGCTAAGCATTCAGATGAACTATGACCAGCTCTGAAAAGCAATTTAGTTCTTTATTTAGTCTAAATCACAATAATTCCAATTAGCATACTTGAGTTTAACGAAAAGGATTTGAAGTCATTTGGTTCACAGTATCATGATTCTTTTTTAATCGTTATTTCTGATATAATTTGTGATGAGGTATTTCAGTATATGGGATTTATAAATTAAAACAATGTAATGGCCTCAGTTGATTATTTTTTCAAATATTCCGTGAATATATTTTTTCAATGGAAACGTGTGCACATCATGACGCTTGTAGTTATAAAAATGAATTCAACTTTAGGTAAAAGGTATTCACAAGCAAAACCTAATCGAAAGTTTTAGACAACCAAAGCTAAAGCTAAACGATTTAATTTTTTTCACAATTTCCAAAACGTTTATTTAACTGTGATAATTATTGGAATGAATGTTGTGATGAAGTTATCGTTTACTTCTATTACTGCACTCATTAGTGTGAAATGTTGTACTTTCTTTGTTAGGCTGATCAGCTGTTGTTGGATAATAATAATAACATTATTCATCTGAAAAAAAGTATTTTACCATATTTCATCATTAAATACAAAATAAGGTTTTCTTTTATCGTTGGGCACTAGACAATGAAACTAATGACGTGTATATTAAAAGCATGTTTCGTGACTGTGAGTGTAAGTATTAATACACACATTTGTTAATCGACTTTTTCTAAATCAAGGTAGCCTCTATTGTAAATGTTTAGTTTAGTTGAATAAGAAAGATAGACAGCATCAAAAATGTTCATTCGATGTGTTTGAACTTATGTTATTGACATTAGATTCCCAGAAATCACTTGAGAAGGTCCTAATCTTTTAATTTTATTCTGAAATTCTGAAGTTTTATGTTTTCACGCTAATAGACGCTTAGTTGACCCACTCGGAAATCCTTGATGAATTATTTTAGTACGCTATTTTGCGATTCTAACAATGTATAAATAAGCTTGAATTGTGTGCTTAGCAACCTCGAATTTTCTGGGTACTTGTAGAGTACATTCTCTACACCTTATGAAGACTTCTTGATCTAGTTAGCAGGGCCTGGAACAATCGGCTTAGAATAGCATATCATGTCACTGAGTCATTGTTCTTTGCTTTTTTACCGATTAACGCGAACTCGTAATAGCATTCGAACAAATCAACTTATTCAATATTTGTTGCTTAAATAAATAAGTTTCATTATCATTTAGTATTTAGTACTTACCTTTGATTTGTAAATATTGATTCTGATTAAATCGAACTCAAACACAAATATAGTGATCACATTTCATAAAGTAAGCTGAAATAATTTCTTTCTTCTAGAATAATACATGTTTTTTATTCACATACTCTCATTTCTCACAAACATCACTTGTTTTTGTTACTCAAAGTCATTTTGTTTTAATCATTTAAAACAAAAAACAGAGAACTTATCAAACTATATATATTACCAGGATTTTTTTTAATGTGAAAAACAATAAAATACAATCGGAAGCTGAAACGGAATATGCCATTGGAATGTTGCGCTGAGAAATAACTTGAGAATTTGTGGTGGAAACAATGGATAACTTTATTTGACTTTGTTGTTTTTCTTTTTCATTTCATTCTTTTTTCTTCTGTTGATAAACAACATTGATATTGAATAACCAAAAAAAACTGTCTTCCCATTGAAACGTAAACCGTCTTATTTTTTCGAATAGTTCTTCTCAACAAATTTGTTTACTAAACCGTACATGTGAAATGGGATACCGTGTTTACATTGTTTTGCTTTTTTGTTTTACTGAAACAATCACGCAACATATATGAAATGTCATTTGTTCAATAAGCTAATTTCATTGAAACTGTTTACAGAATAAGATGAAATAACTAATTGTTTTATCTGATAAAATGAAATAACTTTTTTTCTTTTATCTCAGTTTCTGTGAATACCGTAGGATAAAAATATTAGGTGTATTTCAAACGTAAGGCGTTTTTTTAACCATGACCTGAGAATTATATTCGAGTGTCCGATAAAGCTTGAATTCGGTTATTAGATTGGTAAACCATGGATTGCAATAAGTACCGCAGAAATATTTGAGCAGAAATATTATCTACAATTCTATAAAAAGATGTCATGATGCCTACATTCCGATTATGACGTGTTTCATTATGAAAGTAACTAAATTGATGATTGATTTCAATGTGTGAAGTTATGTTTGATCATTTAAATCATTGAAATAATCTTAAATTATTAAAAAAATGAACTCGATTGTAAGATAATTAAAATGTCTACAACATAAAATAATCTTAAAATCATTAGTTGTTTACTAATGTGTACATTTTGCGAAGATTATTGTGAAGCGTACATTTGACGAATTTCAGTAAATTGTTACTTTAAGATAGGGAAACATATAGAAAAACAATATGTGAGTTTAAATTTCTAGATACAACACCAAACATTGACTATACAAAAACAAATGTAAAAGGGCATAATACCATATTTCAAGTATCGGATGCGCTAGAATAGAATGATACAAAGGAAATTCGAAAGCTTCTATCCTCGAAAAACGTTGTCTTAACTTAATTTGGAACATTCTTAAAATCATTAAAGTTATGATATTTCATTCAATGAATCGCCTGGATTGCTAGTGAAAAGAGAATTATCCAACCATTGGTAAAACTTTCACTAAGTTTTCACTTATGTTTTTACTTCGATTATATGTGTTAGAGATTAATTCAATATTTGTTGTTGATGTTGAAAATAAAAATTGCTAGTAAGATTCGATAGATTGTGTATTCTTATTCCTACTTAAATACAATAAATAAGGTCTTTTAGAAACTAACAACATTATTTCTATCTTTAAAACACAATAATCTGTCAGTAAGTTTATGGCGACCTAAATTTGAGCCAGGTAGTGTATAATTATCAACATTTTTATATTTGTTTATGGAATACAACGTCAAATAAACAGGTCATTGAATGATAATTCAAATTACCTATTTTATTAGCTCTGACGTACTACGTAACACAATCTTGAGAAATCATTTTTTTTCACATCGTATCACTACCTACTTTAACATATACAGTTAGTATCTGCTTTTCCACATTAAATCCTTTTCAGGTTTTTTCCAGTCAAATGTGTACTGTGTCATTGACGCAATGATTTAGTAGCAAAATCGAGTTTGTTGACGGTGTTTTTTGTCCATACTGAAATCTGATCATTCAAAATTTATAAGTTTTTTGTTTTTAAATTTTTTGATCGATAATTACTTATATAGCTTTCTTAAATCGGATCAGGACGATTATTGCATAGATCAGGACGATTATTGCATAGAGTCTTACTTGGCGATTAATTACTTCACTGAGACTGTTCAAAAAGCAACATTGATTTTTGCTATTTTTATTAAAACTATTTTAATTGAAAGTTTCATTCTTCTTAGTTTTCCGATTTGTTCCAAACCCTATTTACGTTTGTGTTACTGAGAAATTTGGTCATTGTTAAACTAGTATCCAATAACTGTACACTGTACCTAAAATACTTTCATGATGCATTCAACTTAGAGGAAGGTATATGTTTCATTGCTTTTATAAAGCTTCAAGCACAATCTCATGTAAACATTTTCTTTATCCATACAAACAATTAGAGAATAAATTTTCTGTGATTCTCAATGAAATTCTTGAATATTATTATTATTTCATTTTACAGCAGAACGTGCTCATTTATATACTACTCACACTTGTCGGATCATTTTCTTTGCCATGCTATTCGACCACTAAAATATATATCTCCTAAAAATTAACTAATCGATTTTCTATCTACATCACTTCTTCAATTGTAAGTCTACTGGTACCCTCATCAACATAGACATCTTTGTCTTAATGCAAATTATCATAACATCAATGATTACATGGATGATGATCATGACGAAACTAACCAATTAGAATTAGCGATAGAGAGACTGACAGAAATATGCTTGTATTGAGAAAATTAATCGTAGGGAAAAAGTGGTTTTTCCTTGCATAACTTATTATTGTATGTATGTGTTTTTATTTAAATCTAGTGATTGTATGTAGTTGTTTGACTCTAAAAAATAAAAAAATATAGTTTTTGATATAATTTATTGGCTTTCTACTGTTTGATTCATGATGATGATTTTAACGCGATTAGAAATTTTTATTGTCATTTATTCGAAAGCAGTTTTGAAAACTTTTTATCGAATATATTAGTTGATGATGCAAAACTGAACAAGAAAATTCATCCAAACAGTTCAGTTCATGTTTTGTATAAATAAAATTATCCATATATTCTGACACAGTCTAGAAGCAGTAGACAGAGAACTTGTCCTCTGGTGATTTATGTCTTCAACAGGCAACACCTCTTATTCCACATCATTGTACAAAGAGACATCAAACCTTGATTTCAATAAAGGTGTACAACCGCAATCCCAACAAGAAGATATTGAATCGACTCTAAGTCCATACACTTGTAAAACTTCTGAAAAAACTGAACAGTCTGAATCATATAATCAAGAATCAACTGAAACATCAAATGAACAAAATTTGAATTATGACGATGTTCTAACTTTGCATGTTCCACAACTAAGCAAAAATGTATGGCATAAAAAACAATCCTACAATTTATTCAAACATGATAAATGTCATTGTTTTGAGTCGATAACACGCAAATTACGTTTTAACACTTCACATAAAACTCAAAGTGTAATGAAGAAACAATCTAAAACTTTATCGAATCGTATTCATAATGGTAATCATTTGAATTCGCTTTATGAAAATGAAGTCGATGTGATGATGAAATCTGATGATAGAAAGAATGCAAAACAAACTGAAATTCCAGAAGAAACTAGTAATACACAAACTGATTCTGAAGTGGTGGAGAAAAGTATGCGTTGGACAACAAATTTTTTAGCAGCTTTAAGTATATTTCTAATTTTAATCACATTCCCATTTTCATTGGTCTATTGTATACGTATTGTTGCTGAATATGAACGTGCTGTTGTTTTAAGAATGGGCAATTTAATACCGAAAGGTAAAGGTACAAAAGGTCCAGGATTATTTTTCATTTTACCATGTATTGACAGTGTACGAAAAGTGGATTTGCGTACAGTGACATTCGCCATTCCGCCCCAAGAATTGCTGACACGTGATTCAGTCACTGTTTCAGTTGATGCAGTTGTATATTATCGTGTATTAAATCCAGTTGCATCTGTGTTAAATATTGAAGACGCTGCACGATCTACTAGACTATTAGCACAGACAACTATAAGAAATATTTTAGGAACTAAGGATTTGGCACAAATTCTTATGGATAGAGAAGAAATATCCACAGCTATGCAATCAAGCTTAGATGCTACAACAGATGCATGGGGAGTGAAAGTAGGTTGATAACTATTGATGATTTTATTTTAAAATGTTATTTCAGGTCAGCTTTAGTAGACATTTGAATTTCCAAATATTTGTAATTGATATGTATCAGTATATCTACTCCTAAGGCCTATAAGATGATCATAAAATTATTGAGAAAATTTGAATGCAAAACCTTTTTCCGAATAAGTGAAAAGAATTACAAAGATCACGTGGAGTTGACTGTTGTTGACGTTAAACTAGTAGTTTTCTTTACTCAGTAGTCTTTTTATCGCATTACTATTATACGGAATATAATTAAAATCAGAAATTGTTAAAGGTTTTTTATCAAATGCAACCCAAATTTTTTCAAGATAATAATTGTAATTTTCATAATTTCAGATTGGACTGCATAAATTTAAATTATATTTGAGATTTTTTTATGGTCAGATGCATTCTAAGATCATTTAAAGGACATATATAAAAATTCTAAACTTTTACGAATAGGATGTTAGTCATTTTATAAGACTATAAAGATTGACTGTACACTGAATATACTTATGAAAGCTAAACATGGAAATAATAAAACAAAGTCATTTTAATATTTTATCAGGACATTTCCTAATTAGTAATTATATGAAAAGTTACTGATATGTATAAATATACTTACACTTAAAGTATGATGAGGGATTAATGGTTAGTTTATATACATATATCTATAAATTCCAGTTAACAATTAGACTATATCTAGTTTTGCAGTTCTGCTGTAACGTGCATCATTTACATATCCACTTTCATTTTTATGTTATTGTCAAAAAATCAGATTACTTATCAGTAGTATATTGATAAGTTTCATTTTGTGATTCATCATTATTAAGTAAATATAAATGAATGAATGAATGAATGAGTGAATGAATAAATAAATAAAAATGACTCATTGTTAATTGAATACAATTTTCTATGTGAATGAATTCATGTTATAAAACTAATTAAATTCTGGCTAACAAAAAGATAAAGGCAAAACAAACCAAAATCCATTTGTTTTTTCTTTGTTTTTTTTAATAAAAATTAAAGTTGATAATAAATTTTTATCTGCCTCTTATTCGCATCAGTAAACAAGAACTAGTAAACAAAAAAGATACAATGTTCTATGTATAAAAGTGAAGTTAGTTCAGTTGTATTGATGTGTACGAAAAATTATTGTTCACTTAGGTGTTTGAGAATCAAAGTTTCCTAGTTTCCAAAAATGGTCAATTCTAATTATTATAAAATTCTATCGGATAACTTAGATGGTTACATGTTAAAATTAATTGAATGGTCAATGCTTTGGAATAAATTAGGCCATTTTCGTAGTCTGAATTAATACTTCGTTCAATTTTAGTTTGTTTTTAAATTATATTAACAATTGTAAAGTCATTGTTTATCAAAAACATAAAACATTTTTTTTTGAACCCAATGTGTTAGTTTTGTTAACACTGTAAAATAAAAATATGACTCGATGCTTATAATAAACTAATTCTTAGAATCATCTAGTTAAAACCTGTGTTAATTCACACTAGGCATGTTGTGAGGAATTTACAACTTATTGATATTGTGTTACCTTATTTTCTAGTTAAAATGTTATTGATTATATCTGAATGTGACCGTTCAGAAGGATTATGCAGGTCAGACAGGATAAGATGAAACTAGTACAAAATGTCAAACCTTATGATAAATAACCGTATGATAAAATTACCACACAGACACCAAATATATAAACATCTATACATGACTGGGTATAACTGAGTAGTTGTGTAATGCAACAGATTTTTAGGAAAAAAGCAGTCCCCTATCACGTTTAAGGAGTTTGTTATTCATAAAGACAATTCGAAAATTCTACCATGTTCAAGATCGTGAAAAATTTTCATCCTCAAAGGTTGCAAGCTTTGAGTAACCTTTAATGGCCTTATATAATGTTTTGTAATCTGAGTAATTTACAGATTACACTTACGTATTACTGTATATCAGATTATTTTTTTATAAATTTCGAACGTGTTCAGTTCACAACGCAATCATAATTCAATAACTAAATTTGTGGAGGAATGTTCATCTTCCTTGGAAAGTAAATGATAATTTTTGAAAAACTGACTAGAGCTATTGGAAAGTTCTCAGAAATGTTCCCAATGTGAAATTAATAAGATAAGTAAAGTTGAAAACAGTAATGTACTACAGCTCACTTATTTTTTGCTAAATTACATTTCAGTCAATTGGTCGGTTGTACGTAAAACAACTTCACACTAAATTCAAACAATCATTATCAATCATTTGAAAAAAATCATGTACTTATTATATTTAAGAAGACGAAAATATCAATCATACTGCATATGTTTTAAAGGGAAACAAAATTTTTAAGATAGACCCCTAGATATATTAATGCACTCACTTCTCTGTTAATAAGATAAACAAGGTTATTTTATATGCGGGGGGCATCGGTTTCCTTACTTCGGTTGTATAACATCAAAAATAGAAGCCATGAAACCTATGGTTTACATCTTTTTATTTGTATATTATACAGCTATATTTGTTGCTTTATTAATTGAAAAGCAAAACTAGATCATATTGATGTCATAGTCTCAGTCGATGATAATCAGTTTTTCAAACGTGAAATTATTTCTATTAATGTCTGTATATTAGGGATTTTCTTGATTGATAATATATGCTATTCATTTGGAGATCCATACTGGTAGATACATTTCCTAACCCATCCTTCATTTAGATAGACGAGAAACGAGTAAAGCGCAACAAAAACGCCTTGAATTTAATATGAGATAGAAAAGGTTATCAAGAGAATGAAAAATGGACATTAATGCTTGTGAGAGATGGTTACGAGCTTATGACTTTTGGGAAAATTTTAATATTCATTATCATAACACAATATCTTTGTGTTAAGAGAGAAATCGTTGTCATATTGTATAATTTGTTTTGACTGATTTTCAATACAATTTAATATTTTATATTGACTATGGTTTTACAGTATTGCAAATATCATTAACGAGGTTTGATGTGATATTTTCAACTTCAGTGAGCAATAATTAGATTGCTAATGATAAAAATAACATAGTTGTAATAGCCTGATGACTTACAAAATCGAAGCAACTAATTAGCTTTTACATTTGTTCAATTACTACAAGTATAATATATTTTTACTGCTTATTAATTTTATTTCCAATAACCGCATTTGGATATGATTTGAATCAGATTTTCATCTAATTGCTTTATTTTGAATATCAATTTATTTTACTCTGATGCTGTCACGAATGTTGCAGATTCACTAAACACTATTATATTGAATCATTGAATTTTGAGTTAATAAGTTCGTCAGTGTTATTAAGAGAGCTTTATTGCAAAATTAAAACAATTAGAATTATAACAGATGCAAATGACATTTTATTCCTACACAGCATCATGATTCACTGACAGTTATCATTATCAAGCTTCTAAATGGAGGACATTCATTCAGTATGCATATGAAGAGGGTCATCTTTAATGGTTGCTAATAAAACCACTTAAACATGTAAACTTACGGTAAAAAAGATTATATATATATATATATATTTATATATTTCGTTACCTTTCCATTAATTATTCTCTTGTCTAAAAGAAACATCTATAAAATACCACTTTAAAGAAACAAATCGTTGACCCTGCTTCATTTCATGCATTCTCGAAAAACAACTGAAATGGATGGTAGCTAATATGGGGAAGAGAAAAATTAATTAAGCAATCAATCTTTTGTCTACTTTGGGGGTAAAAGAGAAGCAATTAATTATTCATTCCTATTGTAATTGATTGCAATCTGTTCAAACCTATGACCAAAAGATAAATAGTCTATACAAGTGAACATAAACTAGAAATCTAATCGTCAAGTATGAGATGAAAACTATTGTAAGTTATACTGTGAGCAACATTTAAATTACAGTTAAAAATTATAATTTTGATTAGGGAATGTTGAAAATCGATGTAGTGCAAAATATGAAAGACCCTGTTGATTTTTTCTAATATTTTTGATCAGATCTACTTCAAATTTTAAGCGCACATCCACAGATTATATATTGAATTGTTCAAAGACTTGTCAACACAACTAAACAAGTTAGAATATATATGTTGGATAATTGGAAATATTTCAGTATAGCATTGTCTCTGATATTTCTAAGTTTCTTTGACAAGTACGCCAGTGAACAAAACATATACTGTGGATAGAGGTAAGCAAGTTTCTACTGAGAATTTACAGTTAAAATATGCAATAACATTTTGTATTGAAGATATGTATAATTATCAGTAGTCTTGAAGTCAAATCTGGGTTTTACTGAAAATGAGGAATATTTATTGGTCCTCAACATCAGCAAATCGTTCAATCAGTGTAGAAGCAGTTTTTAAATTCAGTTTGTGTAAACAGTTGTTACATAAGCTTTCACTCACCATAGAATCTATAAGAAATAGTTATATGTATGACATTACTACACCAAAAAACCTTAAAACCAATGTTTTCCTGCTAAACAATGATTCCCTGTATGCATTCCATATATCTTGTTGTATCGTACTGCAGTTATACAGAAAAACATCTGGCTTAAAATGTTCAAACATAAGCTGAGTGTCCTATTAGTTCTAAAATAGTCTAATATACGATTTCTGTTATCCAGTTAAGGCGCTTGGATATTCTCAAAGTTTTAACGTCCCATATTTTGCACTACACTTTAACCATACATGATTCAGTTTATCGTATTGTGACATCAGTCAATCACTTTAGGCTTAGATGCTATGAAACGTGTTTCTCATTCCAGTTTTATGTTATTTCTTACAAATTTTAGAAGTATCATTTTTGCCAAACTTATGTGAATAATATCTTAAAATTAGAGGTGATAAGTATTTGGTTCTAATAAATAACCTAACAAAACTAATAACATAGTAGAACTACTGAAACAGCAATTTACTTACTAAAAATACGAATTAATAATTAAGCATATGTTTATTATTCATGAAGTTTGGATGGAAAA